TTTGTGAATTGAATAGATGAAAAAGGGAATTATGTAATATCTTTCAAAAATATAAAATGAGGATTTGAAGGGCGATTCGATATCGGATTTTGATAATTTTGGTATGGTTGGACTCGTATCGTAATGGGAGTTCGGATTTTAACAATTTTATCGGGTTTCCTAGGTTCGGGCACGGGGTTGACTTTTTAATTTTAATTAAAGACCGAAACTTTGTTATCCGGAATTGTTTCCTCCGAGTTTTATTTATGATTTGAAGTTACTTTGTCTAGATTTGAGCCGTCCGGAGATTCTTTTTCGAGAAGTTCATTTTAGAATATTGGTATAGCTTCTTTGAGGTAATTTTCTTGCCTAACTTTGTGTGGGGGAGCTACCCCTTAGGATTCGAGTCATTTGTGCTAATTGTGTCATGTGAAGGTCACATAAACGAGGTGGAGGGTACGTACTCGTGCTTAATTGTGGAATTTTGACCGCTTAGGGCTCTTAGGTTCTTATGTTTATTTGATGTGAAGCTGTTTTAGCATATTAATCCTCCATTTAGTAAATTCACTCTTACGTGTCTTATTTGGAATTGATTGATTCATGTTCTACCCGTGTTGCCAATTAAACTCTTATGTGCCTTAGATGAAGTTATTGCCTCTTTATTGCCTTGTTTTCTTTCCCGTAGTTGCTTAATCTTTATTGTAGTTATTATTATTTCTTCCGTAATTGCTTAACTTTAGTTGAAGTTATTATTATTTCTTATGTAATTGCTTAGCCTTAATTGAAGTTTTGTTATCCCTTTTTTCTTTTATTTTAATTAACTCATATTGTATTAATCAAAGTACATATGTACAAAGCCATGTAACTGCTGACCAGCTACAATCCAGTATCTTCAAAACTCATCCTAGTTACAATTGCATTTACCATCTAACCAACTAGGCAAACTAATGATAACCTTCTAATCAGAAGAAAAAAAATTACACAGACTATTACATAAACATCAAGCAAATCTATCTAGACTATGTAATGTCTGCTGCCATTTTGGTTGTCCTCTGCCTCGTGTGTGCACATGTAGGACAATTTCTCTGCATATTCCGTGCTCCTCAAAGACACCCTGCTGGAATCGAATCATGTTTCTCTCCCTCCATATACTATATATAAGCATAGCAAACACATAATTGATGATTGCAGCTTTTCCTGTCTTTTTTCTAGCCATACTGCTTGCCCAATTAAGCTCCTCTTTCCATCCCTTTATGCTTCTTTTCATGCCTAGCCCTAGAAATAATCTGTTCCATATTCTGCTGGTGACTGGGCACTCAAAAAAGGTGTTGTAGTGTTTCAGTAGCAGCTTTACAGAAGACACAATCCTGCGGCACCTGTATTCCAATTCCACTCAGCCTGTCTACAGTAGCTAATCTTTCATGATCAGTCAACCATATTATGAATCTGTATCTAGGATAGATGTTTGTCTGCATGATTTTGTTCTTCCACTGGACTTTCTGGTACTGGGGCATCAGCATAAAGTAGGCCTGCTTTATGGAGAATTTGCCTTGTACCTGAAGTGTCTGTAGTCGATCACACAGGGTCCCCTGCATAGGTTGTCTCTTCAGATCTTCCCTTGTCTCAATTATTTTCCTGATTACCCAAGCTGCATTCTTAGGTATAGGCATGTGTTCTAAATTCTGCTTCTTAATATAGTAATTGTGGACCCATTTTATCCACAAGCAATCCTTTTTCATTGCAACTGCCCATAGTTGTTTCATCACAGCAGCCTTGTTCCACAAGCCCAAGTTGATGACATTCAATCCCCCTGTAGATGTAGGCCTGCAGATCTATTCCCAAGCTATTAGAGCTTTCCTTGTGATAATTTCTTCTCCAGTCCATAAAAAGGTTCTGCAAACTGCATCTATCATCTTCATGGCTTTCTTAGGGAGTAGAAATATCTGTGCCTAGTATGTTTGAACGCCAGACAGTACAGGCTTTATCTGTTGAAGCCTGCCAGAATAGGATAGTAACCTTGTTGACCAGCATCTAATTCTATCTGTTATCTTCTCTATTAGGGGTAAACATTGCTGCACAGTTAGTTTTTTTGGAAGATAATGGTACTCCTAAGTATCTGAAGGGGAGCTTACCATCCTAAAATCCTAACATGCTCAAGATTGCCTGTTTTTTATGTGCATTCATTCTTGCCAAGTAGATAGAACTTTTGTCTTTGTTTGCTTGTAAACCAGTAGCTGCAAAGAATTCCTGAAACACCCATTGAAGTAGCCTGATGGATTCAGTGTCTGCCCCACAGAACATGAGCAAATCATTTGCAAAGCAAATGTGAATTATACCAGTTTCCTACATCTAGGATAGAAGTTAAAATCTCCATTTTCTGCTAGCACCATCATTTCCCTATTCAAATACTCCAGTGCAATTACAAAGAGGTAGGGGGACATAGGGTCCCCTTGTCTGATACCTCTTTGTCCTTGAAAAGGTTTGGTGAGGCCTCCATTTAGCACTAGAGAGTATGAGACAGTTGTGGCACACTCCATAATTCATTCAATGAATCTGAATGGGAAGCCAAGATCACTGAGCATTCTCCTCAAGAACCTCCAGTCTATAGTATCATAAGCTTTCCTAAGATCCACTTTAATGACATATCTAGGAGATACCCCTTTTCTATTGTATCCCTTGAATAGTTCATGACTGAATAAGATGTTGTCAATAATACTCCTTCCTTCTATAAAAGCAGATTATGACTGACTCACTATGTACCAAATCACCTTCTTAATTCTCAGTTGTAGCACCTTTGTTATGATTTTGTATAAAGTGTTACATCATGCAATAGGTCTATAGTCTTTAACCAGTGTTGGTGAACTAACCTTATGAATCAAAGTGATGGCTGTACAATTCACCTTTTTCTGCAGTTTTCCTGTTTCAAAGAAGTTCTGTACTGCATCATGGATATCATTCTCACTAGTTCCCAGTTTCTTGTGAAGAACTCAATTGGGAAGCCATCTATCCCTGGAGCTTTGTCTGTTGGCATATCTTTGATGGCAATGTCTATTTCTGTAGGTATCACTGGCTTTGTCATCTCTAGTTGTTGCTCCCTAGTTGCACTGGCCCTTTTTAACGATCTCTGAGCTTGGACATTTAATCTCACCAAACTACCCATTAGTCATTCGAAAATAGCAGTGAATTCTGATTCTACTTGCACTAGATTTGTGAGTTTAATGCCTGTTTCTGTGTAAATGGAGGAGATTGTGTTCTTGCTCTGTCTAATCTTCCACTGAGCATGAAAGTACTTTGAGTTACTATCACCACACAGAATCCAATTTGCTCTGGATTTTTGTCTAAGTACTTGTTCTTCAATATTGCTCCACTTATCTAAATCAGCTAATATCTCTTTTTCCCGATCAAATAGGCTCTGACAGAATGGTTGAACATTTATGTTGGCTTGCACAATCTCCAGTTGCTGTCTAGCTTGATTTAGCCTTTGTTAATAAAAAGCCATATATTCATTTAGATCCTTTAGTTCATGCTTCAACTCCTGTAGCTTCCTGCTGACATTTGACATGGCATTCAATACCCTTATTTTGCTCCCATACTTTCTTTAATCGTGCATGAAACTCAGGGTGTTCCATGACATTTACAAAGAACTTAAAATGGCTTTGGAGACATTCTTCTCTTCTTTCCACATCTCAGTATCACAGGGGAATGGTCAGATACTCCTAGGCTTAGGAAATCTGCCTCTATATGACCATATTGTTGCACCCATTGAAAATTGCCCAATGCCCAATCAATTTTGCTATAAACTCCGCTTCCCACAGGCTGTTTGTTGCACCAGGTAAAGTGCCTGCCTATTGACCTTATGGGAGTCAACTGCAGGCTATTTAGTAGTTCCTAAAATCCTTGTACTTCCTTAGCTGTAACTGGTTGCCCAATTCTATCATCAGTGGTAAGTGCATTATTGAAATCACCACATAGAAGCCATGCGTTACTGATTGAGCTCCAACCTGCTGTAATTCAACCCATAAATCCTCCCTTTGTTGCAGTGTGTTTTTAGCATACACCACAATAAATTCTGTGGTAAACTGAGTTGAGCTTTCCTCTACTAAACAGTGTATATATTGATCCTTTATAGTTTGTATCTGTACATTTATATTGTCCTTCCATAGAAGCCAAATTCTGCCATTTACTGTTGTGTTATAGTTGTAACAGTATTTCCAACCTCTAGCTACTTTCTGCAGGATTTTCTTTGCTTTTCCTTCTTTAACTCTGCTTTCTACACTTCCCATGAGATCTATTTTTTGTCTTTCCAGAAAGAGCTTTAACTCCTTCTATTTATAGAGCTTATTCAGCCCTATAATATTCCATGTACACACAATCATGAGGGATCTGCCACCTTTTGTACACATACAGGTTCTCCCCCTGCAGTTTTAGGTTCCTCAATTCTCAGCACAACAAATCTGTTTGCCCTCAACATCATTCCAGGTTCGTTCTAAGTAGACTCTTGTATAGCTTTATTCTTGCCCTTAGCATGTGTTCTAGTCTCTTGCTCATTCTGTTGCAACATATGATTTTGTGTTGTACTTTGGAAGGCATTGTGATGTGCCTCTACCACTGCATTTTTAGGTTGAGCTTCTTCTGGGTTTGTCCCCTGGTCCTTTCCTGGTACTTTAACTAGCCATACTGGTGTATTCTTTCTATTTCTTCTCCTTTTCCTCTTAGTTACTTCCTGGTAGGAGTCCTCCTTTGTTTCTGGATCAATTCTTCTATAGCTCTCTACATCATGGTACTTTAACTAGCCATACTTGTGTCTTCTTTCTATTTCTTCTCCTTTTCCTCTTAGTTACTTCCTGGTAGGAGTCTTCCTTTGTTTCTGGTTAAATTCTTCTATAGCTCTCTACATCATGGCCAAATTTTATGCAGTCTACACAAAATTTTGGCCTCCGGTCATATGTCACCTGTTGTTGAAATACCCCAAAAGGTGTATCGATCTCAATACATTCAGGCAAAGGTTGAGAGACATCAACCTAAATCAACACTCGAGCATAAGAGATCCTCTCCATTTCAGCAGTTATTCTATCTGTATATAGTGGTTTCCCAACTCCACTAGCCAATTTGCCTAATGCCTCAAGCGGCCAATAACCCATTGGTAGTCCTGGGAACTTTACCCACAATAGAATAGTGCTAAGGCACTCTAGATCGAAGTAAAAGTCAATTTCCCAGTTCCTCAAAATCAGTGGTTTATTGTGGTATGTATATGGGCCAGCATGCAAGACCAAGTCCCTATCCTCAATTGTTTGGAACTTGAAGATATAGTATCCCTCATCATGGTACAAAATTTTAGGTTTAGCAACAAAATTCCATACCGTATTAACAGAATTGTCCATTGATCGAACATATGGTGTGTCTCCTAGTGCATATCCTATTAATGTAGAATTCGACACCTCCTTCTGCGCTTTGATATCATCATCCACAATCTTCACCACCAATTTGCCATCCCTCATTGATGGAGGAACATAGGTAAGTGGTTTGCCTATTTGGGAAGCACGGTTGTTTTCCAGTCCTTCATCTCGTTCAGTCTATTCCTTCTCCACCACATTTCTGGCCTGCTTATCGGTGCTAATTCCAGAGAATTGGAGTCGCCGCGGTACATGAATTTCCTTCATTACTTGTTCTTTACCTCCCTTATAGGGGAATTTTGATTTGAATCTATAAATTCTACTTCAATTTAACTCTCCTCTTCAATTGATTGGAACTTTGAAGGTAGGAAACTTCCAAACGTCAGTGGAATTTTCCTCTTTAGGATTCCAGTCGTCGGTGTAATCATCGCCTCTATCGTAGTCGGCAGATGGTTGTGACTGTTATTAGTCATTTTTTCAATTACCAGCGTATGTTAGCATGCTAGCTTAACATGCGCCGAGAACGTTAAAAGAGAATTTTGTTATCCCTTTCATTGATGACATATTCTTATTTGGGGTCATTGATTCATGCTATCTCTCTAATTGTCGAATTGCACTCTTGTGGAATCATTGTTCCACCTTATCTCTCCCTTATTGAGTTATTCTAGTTGAGATCATTATTCCCTGTTGTGTCTTTCTTTGCGAGCCTGTTTTTCCATTCCTTTGTGTTCTGAAGTTCTTGTGTTGATTTACTTGTCGTACTCTTGTGTTATCGTTGTTGTTGTTGTACTCAGTTTTGTTGAACAGAGGGTTATGCGTGGTTGCGGTACTGAAACTGTTTTGAGAAATTTTGTGGCATATGGGCACATGTTGTGAAAGTCATTTTATTGTGTTGTTATGTTTTGGCACAGATGGTATTGTTGAGCGGATTGTGGGGGTATTTGCACGTGAGTTGTTCGTGCTGTTTTTATTATTGATATTTGCATATGCGTCTTGACAAGACGGGCTATATATGTGAGTTTGCGCATATGGCGAGACAAGGTGAGAATATTATTGTGCGCGTGCGGCGAGACAAGGCGGGCATTTACCTTATTATTACGTACGTGGCGAGACAAGGTGGGCTATGTCGAGGAATGATTCGTGATGACTTGTGATGGCCTGGGGGCATGGCGCGTGAGTTGTTCATGCGGATATTTGATATTTTCACTCTCTTGGCACGTGCGTTGTCTGTGCGGTTATGAATTGTAATATGGGCACGAGATGCCAAGTGATTAGGGTTCACGAATTGGGAACTCGTGAAATGTGACAATGAGGTGAAGTATCTCAGGATAATCGTTGAACAAATTTTGTGTGGAAGCGGTTGCTCCTATTGAATTATTACTTGTTCCCTCTACTTGGTTTCATCGACTGAAACTGTATTCAACTTACTCCACAGGGTTATTACATGTTTGTTTTCCTGCTGCTAATTGTTGCTCTTAGTTTCCTATTACAAGCACTGTTTGGTATTGTTATCATGCTTATGTTTTATTCTAATATTGTTCCCTGTTAGTTTCATATTCATACTTGTACAGGTTATTTGATCTAGTAGGTATCTTGACTGTCCCTCGTCACTAATTCACCGAGGTTAGTCTTGATACTTACTGGGTACCGCTGTAGAGTACTCATGCTACGCTTTTTGCGTATTTTTGTGCAGATTCAGGTACTAAGAAGTTGGTTGATCATTAGCTAGCTGTTCGGACTTTGCTGTGGAGACTCAAGGTATACCTGTCGTCGCATTCGCAGGCCTCGGAGTCACCTTCTGATTTTGTACTTGTACTGTTTATTTCTATTATGAAACCGCTGTACTTAGATGACTTTCTAGTAAACTTAGTAGAGTTTATGACTTGTACTACCGATTTTGGGATTGTAAGCTTTGTATAGAAATTTCTGCTCATGTTTAAAAGTTTTTGGTTGAGTTTGCCATTAATTCAGTAAGTGTTAGGCTTACCTAATCCCTAAGACTAGGTTCCATCATGACTTCCTATGGGGGAAATTGGGGTCGTGACATTTTCACTACTTTCATCTTCTAAACATGAGACTTCTTAACTGGCCATCACTCGGCTTCATACAACATTGCCAGTCGAACTACCACCCTGTAGAACTTACCCTTGATACTTGGTGGTACATTTATATCACACAAAATACTAGATGCGAGTCTCTATTTCATCCACCCCATTCTAATACGATGAGTAATATCCTCGCCAATATCCCTGTTACCTTGTATTAAAAACCCAAGTTATTTAAAAATATCTCTCTTGGAATGACTTGTGTATCAAACTTCACTTCCACTTCTGTTTCATGTGTCCCAACACTGCACTTGCACTTCAAGTATTCTGTTTTCGTCCTACTCAAATTGAAACCTTTAGACTCCAAGCCTCTACACCTCCAGTCTAGCATTAACCCCGCAACGCGTCTTGACAATCAATACTATGTCATCTGCAAATAACATATAGCATGACACCTCCCCTTAAATATGTCGTGTTAGCACATCCATAGCCAGAGCAAATAAAAATAGGCCGAGAGCTGATACCTGATGCAACCCCATTACCACTGGAAAATGATCCGAGTATCCTTCCATAGTCCTCTCCCTAGTCTTAGTGCCGTCGTACATATGCTTGATCATCCTAATGTACGCTAGAGAAACTCTGCTAATATTCAACAACTCCACGGAACCTCTCTTAGGACTTTGTTGTAGGCTTTTCTAGGCCAATGAACGACATATGCAAGTCCTACTTCCTCTCCCTATACTGTTCTATCAATCTCCTCACAAGATGAATAGCTTCAGTAGTAAACCGCCCTGGCATGAATCCGAACTGATTCTCTGAGATAGACACACTCCTCCTCACCCTCCTCTCCACCACCCTCTTTCACACTTTCACAGTGTAACTCAGCAGCTTGATACCCCTATAGTTATTGCAATTCTAGACATCACCCTTTTTCTTGTACAACCGAACCATCATATTCACCTCCATTCTTCGGGCATCTTCTTTGTCCTAAAAATGACATTAAACAGTCCAGTAAGCCACTCCAAACCTTCCCGGCCCGCGTCCTTCCAAAATTCCACCGGAATCTCGTTTAGCCCAAAATTCCACCGGAATCTCATTTAGCCCAATCGCCTGGCCCCTACTCATCTACCACATCACCTCTTCAACCTCCTTAACTTTAATACGCCTACAATACCCAAAATCACACTGGCTTTCTGAGTTTTCCAACTCCTCAAGCATGATGTTCATGTCCCATCTTGGTTCAAGAGTTAATTAATGTGATAATTAAGACTCGTATGGGGAAATCTATCGGCATTTAAGGTTACAGCCATGCAGGTTTTGATGTATATTAAAAGAAGATAGTGTATAAAGGATCCGTATTAAAGGTTTCTTTGCAATTACAAATTTACAGTCTTGGAACACAATTTAAAAATGCAAAAAACCAAATACACACAACAACTTCATTTGTTCTTTTTTAGAAGGGAATTGCAGTTGTTAAACCTTAACTTCAACAAAACAGTTTGCTCTTGATCGTAAATGACTGAATACGACCATTCCTTTTCCTCTTAAGTTAATGTGACATTATTAATTGTGCTCTTGTTATAAAATATAATTATAGTGGATGTTTATAATCATCAAATGAGTAATTCCCACTACTCTTTTCCATTATCTCATAACTCTCACTATTCTAATACTTATGGAGTTATGGTTGTAACTCCCATACCTCCCCCATGATCTTCCACCATGATCTCAAATGCTTAATGGCATATTTATGAAATTCTTTTGGTATACCTCTATGTAGTACTATAAATAGAGGACGAGAAGTCATTTTGTAACACACTTGAGTATATTAAAAATATAAGAATCTCTCATATCTTGCTCCCTATATTCTTGTCTATTTTTCTGTTTTATATTATTACTTTGAGCTAAATTTTTTAACACGTTATCAACACAATTTTTAACAAACTTAGGATGTGTTCCTCAGTTGAGCGATATTTACGAAGAATAAAGCATGGACAGGTCTTAATAAGTCTTTCCACGAAGGCTTAGCGGTATTACATAATTAGTGACAACATGGTATAAATATTCTTCGGTAAGAGTAATTAGGTAATGCAACCAATTTATTTTACTTTGATTTGGAAAATGGGATATAGTTATATCATTACAATGATTTTGTAATGAACCAAATGTATGAACTATCTCTTTACTAATTTTACTATAATTGGCTTTGGCTATAAGTATATTATATGTGATTATTTTAAGATATATATACTCACATTTGTTAAGAGGAAAAAGGCGTCTGATTTCACTAATCTTATGTTAGTTTGCATTTGAATTTCACTGATTTTTACACTTGTTAGCTTGAACAAGTGTCTTAGACTCATTCATTATTTGTCGCATTTTTCTTATGGGTAATGAAATGTTAATGTATGATATATATAGTACTATATCTGAACTAGTATATGTTTTGATAAATTTACATATAGTATATTAGTATATGAGTATGTACTGGATCCAAAATTTCATTTCTTATAATTCTTATCATTTTCAATTCACTTATTTTTAATGATAATTTTACTATGTCGAATACAAAGTTTAAATTTATGGCTGTGTAAGATTATGTTCTTACCTAAAGTGAATGAGACAACTTGTGATAAGTATTATACAATGGGTTAAAGTCCCACGGCACCATGGCGATAAGACGATGGGTTCAAGTCCCAACGCACCATGAAGGTAAGACATCAGGTTTTAAGTCATGCTGTTCCATGATGTTAAGAGTTGGGTTCGAGTCCCAATTCATTTTGGCCTAACATACCTTTATATGGGTAATGCATTGAGTTTGAGTCTCAATGCACCATATTGATGATCTAATGATGAATAATGAAAATAATATATTTTTCATAAAAAAGCATGAAGTTTGCCCCACTTGATTTGCTACATTCTTGAAGTGAATGTGATAACGGTGCATAATAAGTCTAAATGAAGACAAGTGGTATACCAATGAACATGGGCGTGCCAAAGATTAAAATAATAATAGTCATCATTATGGTAACTGTAAAAAGGAGAACAATAACGGTTCTC